AATTAAATTCAGTCGCAAAACATGTCATATATTTTTTCACAAGCCATAAAGGAAACATTTAATGTTTGATATTAAAAATACTTTAACCATATATTTTATAATATTACTAAACATGGGAACCGTGGTCCACTAGTACGCCTTCCAGCAATAGGAGCATGTTTTTAACATATTTTTCTACATTAGGTTTAAAATATTTTTTTACAATCTTTGCTACTTGGAGTCTTCATACTTTATTATATTTAAGACTGTAATTTTAGTTATTACAAATTAATTAGGTCTTATTAAAAATAATAAATGTGCCACCTTTTTGCTGGAAGATGGCATATGTCTCTTATCCCAGTGTGAGGAACAAAGTCAGTAACAATTTGGGTGATATTTAAAAAATTTTGATAAATTTTATAAAATTAGAAATTATTTTATATAAAACTTTATTAATAGTTCTTTATATATGCAGTTGAATATTTGGATTTTGATGTTATTTATGTAGTAATGTGTTTAAATTACTTATGAAATGATGAACTTTATTGCGCACAATAATCATTTTTAACATGAAAGTCAACTAGAATAATTTAGTCCATGGTTATAAATTTTTCAAAGGACCTTCTCATAAGCTGCGAGAAAAGAATTTTTTACGAAAGTAATAATAGGTAATATATTAATATAACGTTAATACTATTAAGAAAAATGCGTAATTTTTATCATAAATTAAAAAATTATTTTGGTGCAAATTTGTTCGAAATCCCAAATTAGAATCAGTGCAAATTAGTGATAGAAACTAATTTTAAAAATTGGTATTGAATTTTTTGTTTACTTTTGAAAAGCCAGGAGAGAGCAATATATTTGAGCTTAAAAATTATATTACCGTTTGAAGTTAAGTTTTTAAAAATGGAATAATTATTTTAGATATATAAGAAAATTTTAGTTTTTTTTTTTTTTTTCATGACTTCATATAATTTAATCATTTTTCTTGGCAGAAATTTAGAATTCTGTTCCGTAAAGTACACTTGCTATTTTAATCAAATGATTTTAAGTTAATTAAAATGAATTGCGCGAGTTGATTTTTCAAAATAAATAATAATATTTTTTTTTAATTTTGAACTTATACCTATGAAATAGCATTTTTAAAAAAACTATTTTTTTTACATATTTAATAAATCTAAATATCAAATATATTCGAAGATTTATTGATATATACTACAATCCGTGAAGAAAAATATATGTTTTATGTTAAGTTTTTATAAAAAAATAGAATAATTATTCTCTTTTGTATGTAAGAAGTAATTTTAATTTTCTGCATGGATTTCATACAACTTAATAGTTTTTCTGAACACAAATTAAGATTTTTCTTTGAATTTTGTTAATTAATTTAATTAATTAACCAAGTGTTTAGGTAAAAGTCGTTTTTCATAACATATATAAACAGTGTGATATAAATATGTCTGATACTTTTTTATCACAAACGTTGAATGTTGGTTTGGGAAATAGAACTTAACTTAGTTTTAAAATAATTTGGATGAAGTTTGAAAAAAAACTGATGCAGTTTTCTACCTATATTATATATAAGTATACTATATAATTATTATACAATCATAACGTTATTATATACTTTAATTAGTGTTATATTATATCGGCGTAGGTTATTTACATAATTTTTAAAAACCATATACAGTAAAAAGTTATTTTAGTTATAACAAATGATTTGGCGCTTGGTTTGATCTCAATATGGGTTTACAACCAACTAATTATTACATTTAGGTTCCGTAAATACATTATTATAGCAAATAATTCGTTACTGTATATATTAATAGATTTACTGTGAACTGATATTGATTTAAATTAAATTCGGTACGGAAATATCCTATGATCTAAGTAATCTCACCTTTAAATCTTTAGTTGTCGTTGGTCTTTGTGGTGGATTGCAACAATAAAAAGCGTTTAAAAAAGTTATTTCTGTAAAAAAGGCAATTAATTGCCCGTTGTTTTTACACAATGCAATAATAGATCTTTTTATCGAATTTTTGCTATTACCTAGTCACATTCCGTCTCCTTATAGCACTATAGAATAATATTTATATTCAATAAAATAAGAAACATTTTTTTATTATGTTCTGTAACTGTAACTAAGCGACTTTAATATCTAACTTGTTTTACAGTTCGGTATAGTTTATCGTTTCAGAAAAAATATTTTTTATTGATTTTTCTATGAAGGTATATTTCTTTCAATAGGATTTTCTGGCCCTTAGAAGTCATTCATTATTATTATTTAAGTTTTAAGAAATCTGAAAGCATTTTTTGGTTTGAGGCCTTTCAGAACAATAATGGTTCAGAAATATTGATATATTTTTGAGGTTTCTGAATAAAACTCTAAAGACTTGTGTGTAACTAATACGCTGGTTTTGAGAACTATATCTTTCAAGATTTTTTTTCAAGAAATTTTATTTATTTGTTTTTATATAGCATCACGTTTATATATTCAAATTTTCTAGAATATTAATTGTCTAATATATCATTGCTATGCAATATCCCATATAATGGAATTCAATGTTATAGATGTAGGAAATAAGGTACTTACTTTATGTATGAAATATTTAGATACATAAGATCCTATTAGAATCTTATACTGTGTTTGTATAAATCTGAGAATTTTTGTCTCTCTACTATTGTACGAAACAAAAACATTGTTTTATGATTAAGTTTAGAATTTATCCATAGCGTTATTTTCATAAAGCAAATTTTATATATCTGTATGAGAATTAGTTACAAAATAAGCCAATGAAATAAATTCTTTAATTAAATGAAATAGTTAACAATCAATTCATCCTCAAGCATTTATAATGTGAAATTCAAGTGTTTTTTTTATGCACTGCTTGAAGTGAATATATCCTGTACTAATTATAATCTTTTTTTGATTATAATAAAAATGTGTTTCTATAATTAAAATTTCATTATGCGTTTAACTTATATTTAATATTAATTATATAATAGTGATAAATATTATATCGTACTGAATGCCGAATACTTCCTATGTTTTATAGGCCGGTTTGAATATTATCAAATCTCGATACAAAATATTATTAAAATAATTCAATCGAATTTAATTTTCCAACCGATAGAGAAATTTATAGCAAATTATAGTAATCGCGAAAAAAGAAAAATTTTATATATCTTTACGTTTCAAAAGTTTCTGAACAATTTGGTATACCTTAGAAAAAACGGATGTATGTTTGTGTGTGCGGATACAAAATTTCGTCGACGATTTCGGGAACACTGATCAACCGATTTGAATAATTCAAGAAACATTCGATAAGGAGACGTGCTGATTAGTTTTTGGCAAAGGCAGGTCTAGCCGTTCCGAAAATACGAGCAAAAAATGCCAAAAACAGTAACTCAGTTTTTAAGAGTACGGAGCGTCCGATTTTAAAAATTCAAAATACATTTTACTTGTATTGACAAGATGAAGAAATGATTAAATTTTTGGGAAGGCAGGTCCAACGGCTATAGACTTTCAATAAAAATAAATTTAAAAAATGTCATTTGGCGGTCAAAAATGTTTATTGAACATATGCACACAAAATTATCAGATCTTTTAATAATGTGTACACATTTTGTGTAATTTTTTTGGGTTCCGTACCAAGATTTTTAATTGCGTTACGGGAAGTTCCAGCAATTTGCTTTAAGGCACGATGCCATGCACCCTAATAGTTTGATTTTTATATGATGTATCTACCTGTCTACCCTTGTACTTATCTTCCTGACCACCCAATAAAATCGTGTGATCTGAGCGGCGGTAGCAATCTGCTACCACCGTTCGGTGTTTACTTGGCACCTGTTTACCTATCCATCATCTACCTCTCTTACATGCCATTTTTTCTACTTTTTTACTTGTATATCTGTCTACCTGTTTAGATGACTGAATAGCTATTCTTTTACACTTCTGGCTTTGCATCTCCGAAACGGTTGGACAGGTCTTTATCATAAGCTAATGAGCACGTCTCCCCATCAATAGAAATCAAAATTTTGAATAATACACATCTGTTAATCGGTACTCCAAAATATTCAGAAACTTTTGAAACGTAAGACATGCACAAATTTTCATCTTCGATTTTTTTACTAATACTGTTACCCTACGGAAGTTAAAATTTTATGAAAGAATTATATGGTCTTGAGTTCATAGTCTTAAAAAACTTATTTATAATGGGCCTATGAAAAGCGTTTAATTATGATTAATTGTAATTATATATAAAATAATTAATTTTTTACAACAATGGGTCAAACAATGGTATCATCTGAAAATTTTCTAAGGAAAAGTGCCACTTACAATTATTTTCTGGAAGCATGTTGATTTAAATTGAATGCTTTTGTACACAAGAGTTTAAAATAGCATGAACTGAAATGAAATGAAATTCACAATTTTCAGTTATTGTGGAGATATTTAAAATTATCGGACTTTGTTAAATTTTATGTTGACAACGTAATTAGAAGACTGATTTAAGCCAGAAATATTTTGAAAAAAGATGCAAAAAAATCATGATAAACACAGTATGATAGATTTGAACTTTAATTTATTATGAGCTTAGTGTATAAAAGTACAAAAGTATTTAAATATATACCTACATCTAAATTAACCTTTCCATACAAAAATGGCATTTGATCATGGCATTTTAACTAAATATTAAATAATATTTAAGAATAAATAATTATACACAATTTATATATAATGCTTGTGAGATTTGTATTTAAATAATACCTTATTAGATATAACATTTACTTAAGAAGATCAAAAGATGACTTAAAGAAATTATTTTTTTTTACAATTTTATTTAAATAGTTCTACAAATACCACAAACTAGTTTTGCAATTATAAAAACACTAAAATATTAATTGTAATATAAGTTATATCAATATATAAAAATAATAGACTATAAAAATATAGAGGACAATTATCAAAATACACCAAAAATTATTAAGGGTAATAAAAAAAGTCATCCATAAAATGGTGTCAAAGTGTGAAGACTTTTATAAAAATTTAATGAAAAACTTTTAAAATTTGTTATGTCGCCCTACATTGCATAGGAAATTTATCTATGCAAAACCATGAAAATTTCATTCCTGTTCATTTTATAATGTTCGAAAGATATGCGGAGTCCTCAATTGGTCGAGAATCAATGATTGAAACTTGCTTGTATCTGAAAAGGTAAATGTAATTACATAAATGTAATTTAGTATATTTTACATTGTAATATTGTTGACTTACTTCTTTTTATATTTTTCTTGTATTGCTTGTTGTGGTATATTAGTAGCTTCTTTATGTGTTTTGTGCAAATGCAAAAAACAGGAATATAATTCATGCATTGAGTAGTGTGTACTTTCTTGCAACTCTTCACTCCATGCATCCATGCCTAAAGTATGTCTAGCGAGAGCCAAACAAGCTGCAGCCATATGTGAAGGTAAGTACTGTAGATAAGGATCCGCTTCTAGCATAGACAACTCATTGATATACTGTAAATATATTTTGAAAGAGATTTTAGAAATTATTTATAATTAAGAAGATTTAAAAATTGTTAAAATTATTCTCCTACCATGGCCATGTACTGTGTTTTTTCTCCTAAGTTGTTTTCTATGCAATATAGACTAATGAATGATAGTTGAGTGGGTACTGACAGATCAAATGACAATACTTTTAGTATTAAATGCTCCATACGCAAAACTTGCTTCTTTGTGTAAGTGTCATCTGTGATATAAACGAATTCTGAGGCTTCTGGTGGATAGATTTCTTCATATTTACTGTAATATAAGTTGATGAATTAAGAAGTAATCAAAACAAATTAATCAAGCATCAATATTTCTTTTCCTTACGCTGCAATGAACATCGCAGCAGTTCCAACAAGTTGCAATTTTGCACGAACAACAGACATGTAACTTAGGAATCTATCAATGTAAGTGACAGCCAGGGATAAAGTTTCAGCCTGCAGCCTGTATTCTTCACACACTTCAACAAGCCAATCGACCAAAATTGTCCTCATGGAGTTAGTGATATCAGGTTGTTTCTTCATGTATCCAGGCTTTGGACGATGCTTGAGCTACAAATTAAATAACAATTAGCAAAATCACAGAAATGTTGTATGAACAAACTGGCCACTATTAGAGAAACAAAATCCTTCAAAACTAATTTTGAATATTATCTAAGTGTTTTCAAACAAACCATGGTGAATTAAGTAAAGATAATAAGCATTGTTTTATTACCTCTGCATCTCGTAAGTATTGATATATGTCTTTCTGGTATTCTTCAACTTCAAAGAATCGATCTCTCACACTTCTTTCAATACTAGGTAAACTACACGGCTCCTTGACAACAACAGACTTATCAACAGACATAGGACATAGTTCTGCATCCCCAGTTGACATGGGTGAATCCACATTATTAAGCTCTTGGAGAGGTGCTCTATGAGAATAAAATGCTTTATGTATAATCAAAGACAACTTAAAGGTTTATGAACTCATTATGAAAACAAGATGATTTGTTGGCTAATTTAGGTTATATATTTTGATTACCTCACAGCCTCTTTAGATTTAATCTTCGTAATAACATCTTCTGTCTTCACATCTTCATAAACACTGAATGCTTCAAACTGCGCAACAGGAATTGATGGTATGACTTTCTTCGATATCTTATCATTGTATGCATTTTCATCTTTGAAACCTCCTTTGATAGTATGTTCACCAACCGCGGAAGATTTGATCTATTAATTTACAAAAGACATTAAAATATGTAACATGACAAATGAATGAAAAAAATTGTTTAACTCACATGTCTAACATTTCTGTTGGACTGTTTATTTATGTTGATGTCTCCCAGGACTGCACGTTTACTTTGCACTGGTTGTGAATTCTCCTTTATATTCGCTGCCATGCTCGAGATGTTTTCTTGGTCGTCATGTATACGAAAAGTGGCCATCATTGAATATTTTATTGAAAAAAACAAAAACGAGCTGAGTCCAAGGTGACTAAGAAAACACAACTATCGTTCAAATCCAATATTCTAACCCAAATTCGGTTTCATTTTTTTGCCATTGTCTTTTTTTAAGTATGTTCAACGAATCAAGAACGATTAATAGACATACCAAAAGTCGTTATAGTAAAAGAAAGTTCGACTGGGTAGAAGTCAAGCGTCACAAACACAGCTGTGACTTCTGTTGCACCAATTATATGCGCCGTTCGGCGGTCACGTGATCCAAGTCAGCTAAAACGGTTAAGGGCGGGTAAAATGACACTTTGAAGATGTCATTCAAATATTTTTAAAATATTGCTTAATTCTTCGAAACTTATTGCAGAAGACATTGGTATCACAATATTGTAGTAAAAATATTCACTATTTAATGACTATGTTGAAATCAACACGTTAAATATAAATTTGACACTTCTGCTAATAACAATATCTTAATCTGGCAATACTTCGTGACCTGCTGTACTGCATGCCAGCTGTCAGTTACATACCGTTCGTCGAATTTAATTCTGCACATTAAATCTATTTTAATTCTGCACAGAATAAGTGAAATAATAACATATATACAAAGAAATATCTATCGCAGTATGTCTAATGCCACTCCAAATATTGATAAAGAACTGAACACTGCCAATAGAGGTAGAGGTGTTTGGTTAGTTAAGGTACCCAAATATATTGCTAATAAATGGGATAAAGCGCCTGGAAATATTGAAGTGGGTAAACTTAAAATAGTTAAACCAGAAGGACAAAAATCACAGGTATCACTAACATTATCAGAAGCCGTATTATGTCTCAAAGAACCAGGAGAAATGAGTATTCCAAAAGAACATAGATTAGACGTTTCTACTGTGACAAGGCAAACGCTAGGAGTTTTTTCTCATATGACACGTAAGAGTTTACAATTTCTATATAACCTAATGATTTATATTTTCTAGTGAAAATGAGAAGTTTAGAATTTTACTTTGCGATAAAGTCCTAAATATTTCACCTTTTGCATTTGTTGTTTATTTTAATGTTATTGTTATCTTATTTTAACTTTGCAGCGGATAACACAGATCCCTTAGATACGAAACCTGAACTTTTATTTATGGAAGGTCGTATTGTTCAAAAGTTAGAATGTAGGCCCTATGCAGATAATTGCTACATGAATATGAAATTGCAATCTATTAAAAAGGCATCCATGCCGGTGAGACAAGTTAAACAGCTAGACAGAGTTGTTCAAAATTTCAAGCCTGTTTCAGATCACAAAGCCAATGTAAGTTTTCACAATAGAATTCAAAATGCATATACTGTTAATCTAATATATTTGCCAAAGCCTTTAGAGTCTTGGTTTTTAAGAATTTTTATTTTCATTTAAAAAAGAGTAAATTCAGTGCAAGTACACCTTTTATACTTACAGTTAAAATTCTGCAATTTAGAATTGATTTCTGCAACTTAACTTCATGTCCATAAGGTTAAAATTATTTTTGATTTAGTTACTAGATAAAGTTTATTGTTTTTCCAATTTCATAATTCAATATGTAATCTATTTACATTGTATATTTATTAATAATTTAATACAAAAATTTAATTTTTCACATCTTCAATTAATTTTTATAGCATTTATTTAGACATTTTGTGGTAAATTATTTTAATGCAATTTGCTTCTTCAAATTTAGATTGAATATATGGAACGAAAGAAGGCAGAAGGCAAAAAGGCTCGTGATGATAAAGATGCAGTATTGGAAATGCTTTTCTCTGCCTTTGAGAAACATCAATATTATAATATTAGGGACCTAGTTAAAATTACACGACAGCCTGTCACATATTTAAAAGAAATTTTAAAAGAAGTGTGTAATTATAATTTAAAAAATCCTCACAGAAATATGTGGGAATTAAAACCTGAATATAGACATTATAAAGATGATCAAAAGGAAGAGGAAAATGAAGAGAAAAATAGTAGTGATAGTGATTGATAATGTGGTGATATTTTAGGTATATTATTTTGAGAATAAAAGGTGTTACAATCTAAGTTTTCTAATTTTAAAAAGTTTGAACACTATTTAATTTATATTTTTATGTTTTATAGCATGTTGGAAATGTACATGATAAAAGCAATATTATACAAAAACAATAAATTTAATGCTCTTAGTAATTTGATGGCATCTGTAATTTATGAATCAATGGTCAACATGCAAACATTGATATCTTGTTGTTTCACAGGTTTTGAATGTTTTTATCATTAATGTAAAAATGTTGATTTTGGTATGTTTATGAATACAATTTTCATAAAAATACTTATCAACATTTTTGACTGCATACATTGTTTCTTATTTGCTTAACTTTTCTTGTAGAATTCGCAGAAGTTGCAAATTCAATTTTCCTTCCCTTCATGTTCGCCACCATAAAAGTCCAAGTTGTGCCATGCTTATTTTGGTACGTCTCAACTTCAAACTTCAAAACACACAAACAGAAGACGAACCGATTTTCAAAATGGCGTCCATGTCATAAGTAAAATCCGTGGAAAAATATGTTGATGCCATTTTATATTTTGAAATTATATCCTTATTTAGTGGTTAGGTCTTGAAGCTTGTGAAATATTTATTTGTGCGACTTATATATTATTGCAATACTTATACGCATCGTTTTTACACCATTGTACATTCAACTAATTGCTTATATTGCTAACTGTTGTTCTGTCGTGTGAAATTTGATTTATTATAATGGATGCTTCTCCGCAAGTATTAGGACAAGGGTCAAACCAGCCCCCACAACGAGGAAATTTTAGGGGCCGTGGGATGGGAATGAGAGGGCGTGGATTTGATGGACGCGGCCGGTTAGTATTTTATTTTCTTGCATTAATGATTAAGGTTCGATGAGTTGATGACATGAAATTCATTGTGTATGTTCATTTTATCAGGTGAAACTTGCTCCTGAATATTAATAAATATTTTGCACAATATTTAGTTACAAATTATCAATACTGTGAAATCGTTACAATAATATTTTCATATCAGTGCTAATATGTTATATTAGTACTTAAGTTATTAATATGAATATTAAAATGATCGTCAATCAGATTTACCATATTTGCTTGAAACTGTTCTATATATTTATCAATAGAAGCTGTTTAACAAAACAAATAAAAAATTAAACATAATTTAATTATTGTCATTCAATTGTTGCAGAGGTCGTGGAATGCCCATGCGAGGCGGACCAATGGGTGGCCGAGGTGGTCCCATAATGCGTGGTATGCGACCACCTCGTGGTGGTCCAATGTCTCGTGGAGGTCCTCCTGGTAGAGGCGGTTTTATGCCACCCGGCCCTCCTGGACCACCAGGTGGGCCACCTGACCTGCCACCTCAAAATGGATTGCAACCTGTACCGCCACATGCACCACAGGGACCACCACAAGGACCTCCACACAACAGGGGTGGGATGTTTAGAGGTAGAGGGGGAATGTCAAGAGGTCGTGGAGATTTTAATCAAAGGTAATATGGTCTGTAATATTTTAAATTAAATTCCGGATTGTAATAATTCTCTAGTTTCTAATTTAGATATTGAAATAGATATTATAGTAATGCAATATCCAACTAGTTCTTATAAAGTTATTAACATCTTGAAATTTAATAAACATGCTATTGCAATTGTATTATTTAAATTATGTAAGCTAATTATATTGCATTTTAAAAATTTTTTAGGGGTAATGGAGATATGAGGGGTCGTGGGGGTAGAGGTGGTATGAATCGCAACAATTTTAATAATCAGAGGCCTGAACCATATCCTGGTGGAGGACCAAAACGTGGTGGAATGCAAGCAGGTGGTGGGCCACCTGGAATGGGTGGTCCAGGCCCAATGAGAGGGAGGTATGATCAACAACCACAACAAATGCCACCACCACAAATGATGCAGCATGGACCACCACAACAAATGCCACCTCATGGGAATGGTTTTGGAGCTCCTCCACCTAAGTAATAACTATTTAATGAAAACATTTTTATAAGATAATGTTTGTAAAAATTATTATTTTTTGATCTGATCATTTTATGCTTTATTTTTAGCATGCCTCCACATGGTGGGTATCCTCCACAGCAACCACCTATGTATGAACAGCCACCAGCCCAAATGCCACCAATGGGTGGTGAACCTTATTATGGTGCTGTTAATGGTGTTGGACCAGATCCAAACTATGCACAAGCTGGTAATGGTTATGCACAAGCACCTCAGCCAATGCCGCCTCAATACCATCAACAACAGCCGCCACCACCTCAACATCCATATGTAGGTGGTGTTGTGCAACAACATGCACCAGTCATGCCACAACAAGCTGCTGCTCCTCCAATTGTACCGCAAGCTCAAACTGCACCTATGCCTGCACAACAGGCAGGATATCCAAGTTATACTGGGTATGAAGATTATAACAGGTGATTAGAGATAATATGCTTCTTTTATTATTTTTAGAATGAATAAAATTATAAAGTGGTAAAAGTATAACAACTGCTTACTTTTTAAGACCAAAAATAAATTGGTGAACAATTTATGGGCTTTTGAATAGTGCTTTTATACAAGCTTTCATCTCTTAGTTAATATGAAGATATCTTATACTTATGCCACAGAACATTATTGTAATATTGTAACATATATGTGCTCAAATTGTCTTAATAAAAGTTTTCATGTATTCTTTTTTTCAGTGCTTACAGTGCAAATACTGCTTATTCTGAAGCAAGACCATATACTGCAGCTCCGACAAGTACTGGATATGACTACAATGCTCAGGTTGCTACCCCAGCACCAGCACAGACATATCCAACCCAAGAATATACAGCTACAGATCAATATGCAACACCTGCAGGTGGTTATGATGAAAGGACATATTCTGCAGGATACGGTAAATAATTTATTCCTTATTATGTGTATTTGATGAGAACTTTGCATGGGGTTGAACTTTATAATTTTTATTATAAGTTAGATTTTGTTGACTGTTAAAAATTAATTTTATGGCTTTGAGTGAGATGTAATTTTATAGCACTTGCCATATGGTATGCTATATTGAAAAATGTTGGTTGCAGTAGTGTTTATTCTTATGATTTATCAACTAACAATATCTACATAAATAATTACAAATTACAGTATGTTTTTGAGGTCAAATTCACATACTTAGGAATTAATTTCATATGTTTGAAGTTTATTGCATTCTCTAATCGTTTGCGCACGTTTTTTGAACACTTTGCACAAGCTTTAGAATGTTTGAGTAACAAGTATGAATCTCAGAGACCAATAATGCATGCGGTTTACGGTTAGACTTTTTTTTAAACTTTTGATCATCTAATGTAAGATTATTTATATGTTTATAGATTATTCAAATACTTCAACGTATGCAAAGCAAGATTTTTCTGGTTACTATTAATCTTGAATTGAAAATTGACTATTGTGTCAATGACTGAGTACTAAAAGCTAAAATTAGTGATTATATCACTAGGTGAGAAATTTCTTAAAACCATCAGAACAAGTTAAAGGTTGGTTTGATAAGTTAGTTAAGTGAATATTTTAAGATTTTAAACTTTGAAGGCATTTCAATATAGGTATGAAAGTTTTATGAATACTTTGTTACACAAAAGTATTTACATTATTTGAAATGTATGTTAAATAATTTATGTATGTATTAGTTTGTGCTAATAGAGTTTAATTGAAATTGTCTTCAACAACTGTTAGAATTGTTCATTTTTGACATTTCACAAAAGGAGTGAGAACTTCAAATTATTTATTTTATACATTTATTTCAAATTCTGCAATAGTGGCATTTTCGTTTTAATATAGCAAGATGTAGATACTAATGATATAATTTGAAATTAAATATGTATCAAAAAAAGCTGCGATTAATACATAATTTATGTAATATATTGATATATCATTATACTTACCATAAAATCTACAAAATAAAATTAATATTAATAATATAATTAGCAATTATTTTACATAGAATTTATATTTATTATCATTTTACATTTAAATTTATTTTTATTATTTATTTCAAGTACCTCAACAAGAATTTAACTGTGATACTATTGTGATATAAAACATTATTAGATTAATTACAAAAAATGCATTGACCAAAGTATACAAGTAACTCTTAAATGCATTAATATATACAACAGAAGAAAAATAATTCAAATATACAAATCATTGAAAAAGCACTACGTCCAGAATAATTAAAAATAAAAATTTCATATATGCAACTACTAAATAAAGATATCAATATTTTATTTATAGGGCCATATAATGTTTATAGAGAATACTATATGAAATATTTTAATGATTACAATATTTATTAATTTAGATACATATAATTTTAAAAAAATGTTGCATATATGTATATTTTATTGCAAATCACATAATTTTGCCAAGATATTTGAAACTTTTTTAAATTAAAACGGTCATAATCATTCTGGCATTAATTGTTTTTATATCTTAATCAGAAAAGTAGCATGTGCATTTGGTATCATAAAAGCAAAATCAATAGTACATCTACTAAATTTTAGACAACCACAGTAAATATTATTACAATATAATATATTAAAAATCATTTATTAAAATATTTGAAGAATAAGATTTGAGACTACTTAAATAATATGAATAATTTATTGGGCAACAATGACACAAAAAACTATGAACTATGAACTGATAATATATTCTTATTGATATTAATAATAGATAATGGGACAGTGTAGGTGTTATTACTTTGATTTGCCTAGAATGTTTTATGATTATTATGGCTAAAAAAAAATTATACATAACTAAACGTATGAAATCTAGATATAGATTATTTGGCTCAAATTACCAATGACCTGAAAAGAAATTGAGATTAATTAAATCAAATAATATATTCAAACTTATTAGCATTTAGTGGCATGAGCTATTTACAATTACTTGGTCCGAAATTTTATTGTGGGCTCATGTGTCACTTTATTTTATTTCAAGAATATATCATATTTAAATTTTCTTCTTTGGTAATATATTTATATATATATATATATATATATATATATATATATATATTAGAAAATAATTAGCAGCCCATTTGTCAATATATTTAAATGAATTTTTGACGAATGGGCTACTAATTATTTTTAAGTATGTTCCATCGTTGAAAAAACTATCAAGATATATATATATATATATATATATATATATATATGCATGCTTAGCGCATCCAAAATTATTATTTTGGTCATTTTAGGCAAATCGAAAAGAGCCCTTAAGTATTCTAGTGCAAAAAATACAAAAAAAAACTCTGTGTTGTATTCAGCTATAAATATTTTCATTCATACAACATTTTATATATCAATGATAATATAGTTGATACTTATTCAAAACTCAATTTATGCTATATACACATTATGAGAAGGTTGAAATTTGGAAAGATCTCAAGAAACGATCGCTTGAATATAATTAATTGACTGATACAAATATTAATTACAGTTTATGATAAATGATTACATATGATGAATAAGATCTCTTAAACAATCAAAAATATAAAATTTTCTAATTAGTTATAATTTTAAATAGTGGAATTTAATAATTTAAAAAGATTTATAGTTTTCTAATTCTATAAAAATCAAACATTTGATTCCAAAATTTGGAACATACATATGTATGTTTGTATACAATATATATTTAATATATATATGATAATTCATGTGATACAATACTGTGATATAATTAAGAATAAGTTAGACTTGAACTTTAAGAAAATTAATTTTTTTACAAATATGAACTAAGAAAGTCAAGTCAAAATGCAGGTGAGTTGTGTAAAATTTTAAATTAAAATAGTGGTCTGCAAAAGGGCATTTAATCGCAAGTATTTATGTGATTTAGTTAATTGCTGATTTGTATTTTGTTCATTTTTATATTATTTGGTCACATTTTTATCTATTATTTATGAATATCATTTATAAAATTTACTTTATTTTACTTACATTATTTTATTTTGCATATCACTATATATATACATCTGTATATAGATATATACCATATATATATACACACATAAGATAGTAAAAGCAACAATTGAATTCCAAGATGTTGCAAATGCCTTGCAATACTAGGTATATTATTTATTAAATATATTCATATATTTTGAAACAAAAAATTTAAGATAAAAATAAAAATGATAGAAAAATACAGATACTTAGCTCAAAATTTTTGGGTATACTAAGGAGCAAATTCTAATTGTTAATGTTTAATTTTGATAGTAAGAATGTTTTACATTCTAGAAAATGACAATATATTATTTTATACTTTGCATAATATAATTTTTTATATTTCTACTTATGCATACTTCATACTATGCTCATATTAAAAACAAAAACGTTTGTTCGGATAGTATGCAATCAAGTTCAAAAATAATTGAAACTACTAAAATGCCACAATTATATTCTTCTATATATAATATCATAAAATATTTCTATAAATTTATCAATTTAAACGAAAATTGACATTCGAGCACATGTGTGACTCGTTAGAGCATTGGCAATGTATTGTCTTATTTAATTGCATTGTTTTGATTTTTCTAGTATTCTAAAATTTATATATTTCAAAATTAATTAGTGTGAAAGGAAATATTTAATTGATATTGTCATATGTGAGCTACATTTATTTCCATAAATATTTATACATACAATTAACGATTCGTGCTTAAATAAAGAATCAAAGCGCGAAAGTGGAGTCTATAAATAATATTTCATATTAGTAGCGTATAATTTACAGCTCCTCTTTCTAGTTTTGCAGATTTTTATGATAAAATGCTAAAAATACAAGTTATTGATTATTTGATCGTTTAGTTGCTTTCAGCATTTTTTTTCAATATTTTTAAAAATGAAATATACTAGATGATCAAAGTATATTCATTTTTCATTGGTGAATATGTTTTCGTAATCATTTCGTGTTTGTTAGTACAATGCTATTTTTTTTTTTTATATTTTGAGTATGTTTATATTTGGAAAAGGGAAATATTCCATATTTATCTTAAATAGGCAAAAAATTCTCTTTTAGATCAATATGATCAACAAAAAAAATATGCAAATAAGTTCTCTTCGCATATCTTACAAGCCACAAATTGTTCTAATTTAAAAATCTAAAATTTTCAAAAATAATATTTATATATAAATAATTTAAGGAATGGTTTTTCAAAACAAAATAGGTTTGGTATTAAAATATTTGGACAGAAAACCTATGCCATAAATAATTTTGCACTAATCAACCATCGGAGAAAATAATATCAATACAGTATTAATATTTTAATTTAATATTGAGAATACGTCAAGGTACATATTTTGAAAATAAAATGTGTATGCCTTCCATAAAGACATTTTCATAAATTTGGATGTAATTCATGAAATATATGGAATAAAATGAAATTGTAGTGCTTGTTTATTTTCTCCTTTCAAAGGAGATGGAAGGATTCCTTATTTCTGTTGAAATTAAAACTGTAGAAACTGGATATATACGATTATTATGGCAATATACATTCCCAAATCTGAGTCTCATGTTTGGATTGCTATAACTTTTAACTATATTTTTTTATTCATAAATATATTTTAATTAGATAAAAATTATAAGTTACAATTATTTGGAATATGTATATTGCTACCATATAGTCGTATCTTCCCTCAGCATTCAGATATCATACGCATGCATTTTTGGTTTCCTAGAGTTCTTAGAAATAGTAAATATAAAATCTCTTCAAACATAGAAACAGAAATACAATGAATATGAAACATATATTATATGGTAGTTTTTCAACACAATATAAGTTGAGAGAAATGTATATTTGGGGGCTAAATTTGTTAAGTGAAGAAATGCGATATGGGTATTTGTATGTAAGTGAATATTTATGATAGTGAAGTCATGGCTAAAACATATCTGATTTATGAGTTTTTATTCTATTAGTTCTGAATCATAAACCTAAAAAGCTACCGGTTCGTTGTACCGTACTACCGGTTCTTGTAGGTAACGCAAGTGGTGAAAATAGTACTTTAACCGTGCAAACAATGAGATTGTAAAATTCTAGGTGAATTAATGAATTTGTAATATATATTGACATATTTATAGATTGGATTTAAGTCAATTATATCGCGAGGGCATTTGAGACTTGTCTGGTATAAAACCAAATTATTCGGTTTCGATTAATTAAACGGAAGGCAAAAATGCATCTAGATGGTAAAGATAATTTATTTAAACTTAAGTCAAAGTTCATTAAGGTAATTTATTACCTCTTTTTCACAATTAAAAAAAAATGTATTAACGTTGGGAGAAAACGCCGGACAGGTACCAATAATAAGAAATTTTTAAAGTTGTAATTAATTTTAAAATTGTCGGGAACTGATTTATTCATTTTGGATTCTTGTATTTGCATAATTACCCAAATTGTAATTTTTTGAGACATTTTCATATTTACGTCCTTTGGTGTTTTGTAGGTAGACACTATTTACAGTTAACGTTCGCGCTTAAATAAAATACATTTTTAGAACAAAAAATGATTGAAATGAACTATGTTAAACAAATTA